AAGAACTAAAATGAGTGAAAGTATTTTGTTTTGGTTTTGTTATTTAACATGTATTGTTGGGGTTTGAGACATTGAAACTATATTTCTTTGATAATTAAGGTACACTAAGAGGTACTGCTTCATACAAGTGTTCGCAGATTCTATTCAATCATTCTTGTCATGATGTAACGAGGATGCGAGATATCTTTTCCAACAAGAAGAAAGGACAAATGTCACACATCCAATTTTGATCTTTTGATTATCTTTAGTTGTTGATGAGCAAACCAAGACTACTAAATTTATACTTTCTGATTCTAATGATTTTAGTTTTCCGTTTTGCATTTTACTATATTCAGAGGATAATAATCACTATTTTCTCGCAATAATATATCAAACGTTATGGCGTTTTACCATAATTCTATATGAATGTCGTTATAAAAATTATACTCTTGACAAAAGTAAATCAATAATTGGTCTAAAACTTATAACCCTAAATGACTAAATCTGGTTTTAATCGACATACAACCCCGCGCCGGGCGCGGGGACCTCCCCTAGTTAGAATTAAATAACTAGGTTTTGTTTCAATGAAAAGTCAAGAAACTCCTTGTTAAATAACTGGGAGTTTATTTTTTTAAGATCTTCATTAAACAAAAAACACAAATAAAAGTAAAAGAAAAAAAAAAAAAAAAAGTAAAAATCCCTTGATCATCGTCATAAACTGTTTTTGCTATATCTCTGCACATTTTACTCTCTCGAGCAATCTTCATAATCCCCATTAAATCTCAGTTCCTTTCATGAACCCTAACTTTCGTCATTCACTTTCCCATCCAAAAAATTGTAATTTCACTTTGTTCTATCTCTAATTGCATCTAACGGTTATATCTGATTCGATTCCTCCCTCTTTCTCCGGCGAATTTCGTTGTCTCGGATTCACATACTTTAAACAAGTGGATCTAAAGTCGAAGAAGAAGAAGCTTGTGGATCTAAGTGCCTATCACGGTGAATTCACTTGGTAAACTTGAAATTGAATAATTTGTATCATTTAGATAACATGGGTAGTGGTGGTAATAAAAATGGTGATGAGAAAAAGGATGATTATGTGCAAACTACGTTGGCAATTCCATCTTTAGAAAAGAAGGTTGATTTTCTTCAGATTGTGTTGGCTACTTCACCATTGGATGAGAAGACTGATGTTGTTCACACTTTTTCGAGGAGTCCACCATTAGAGAGAATAAGGGTGACTCTGTTCATTGAATCCAAGAATCACTTATTACTATTCTCACCACTCGTAGCAAATAAAACTCATTGACGAGCAAAACTGTAAAGTGCACCTAAAACTGCAATTGTAGCCCACATGGTGGTGGGCGAGTGGTTGGCGGGCCCTGGTTGTTTGGGTGAAATTCTCTCCACCCCGGCTTCGATTCCACCTGCTGTTATCAACATTATTGTGGGAAGTCTGTCAGTTGGCTTTGGCCCAATTGGTTTACCTGGTAGTCATAAATGCAGGCGGCCTGACTACCCTCTGGTACTTAGTCGGAAGGCATTCCAAACTCGGGATAGGCAGAGTGGTAGCCCGAAGGGCCTAGCCGTTAATACGGTGGACATGTCCACTATGTAGCACCTCGGTGCGTTCCTACCGGGGCCGACCGGATAGCCGATAGGGTTTATCAAAAAAAAAAAAAAAAACTGCAATTGTATATATGTACTATGTTTATGTATAAATATTATTGAAGAAGAAAACTATGTTTATGTATATATGTACTATGTTTATGAATTGAGAGCATGTTTAGTTTAACATTCTACACAAAAACTTTATCACACAAAGTCAATATAATAACTTTACGAAAGTAACTCTACATAATAACTTTACCTTATAACTTTAACAAATAACTATACTTAAGATCTATATAATAACTGTACTATGTTTATGTATAAATATTATTGAAGAAGAGAACTATATTAGTTTAACATTCTACACAAAACCTCTATCACACAAAGTCAATATAATAGCTTTACGAAAGTAACTCCACATAATAACTTTACCTTATAACTTTAACAAATAACTATACTTAAGATCTATATAATAACTGTGCGAAACTAAATTTATGAAAAAACGTTGCAGAACAACTTTACCGAAATACTTTATTAAACAAGCGAAATTAAATCTACCAAACAACTCTGCATAATAACTTTTCCACAAAACCTTACCAAACAAATATACTTAAGATCTTTAATAATTCTGCGAAACAAAATTTACCAAACAACTCTGCATAATAACTTTTCCGCAAAATCTTACCAAACAAATACGTATATACTAAAATAATTGTCCAAACCTGAAAACTCTGAATAAATAATTTTTTGAATCTGTAAACAACTATACATTAAGATAACAACTAAACCTTACCAAACAAATACGTATAGCAAACAAGTATACGTTAAGATATGTAAACAACTTTGCAAAATAGCTTCACCCAATAACTTTACCAAACAACTATACATGAAAGATCTATATAATAATTGTCGAAACTATCCATGAAACGATTCTGCAGATTAAGTTTACTAAATAAATATACATTAGGATCCATGAAACTATGACATCAAAAAATCTCACGTACGTGGGCTGGTTAAAATTGTGAAGGTAGGTTTATTTTTGTTTTATGTTAAATTATCATTAGATAAATATAAGGGTTATTTTGTCTTTTGTTGGTGTACATCTTTAATTCTAGAAAATATGACCTAGATTAATAATTTAAGTTTGTTTTTAGATTTTTTTCATAATTTTCCCTTAATTAATTCTGTCACCATCAAGATTGACGTCCACATTATACATGTTATTGTTGACAAAAACAAAATCATGAAATCAATGTTGATGTTTAATACATAATCTATAACATATTCAACAAAAGATAATATTGTATAAAATTAATTATACAATTTTGTTAAAAAAAATATATTGGAAAAGACATTTCAGACGTTATCATATAGTTAATTAAGTGATCCGATAAAAATATTTTAAAACTATATTCATTTTTTGGTCATCAATTCATTTCATTCTTAAAAATATATATATGTATAATATTATTTCAGCCCGTTGTCAAAGTCACTACATCCCATATCCAATCATCACCCCAAAGGAAATATGATCAAATAGAGGCTCTATACTAAAACCTTGTTATTTAATAAAGATAATCACACGATAGCATGGATGCAACCTATAGACTTATTCCGTATATAATTAAGAACATAGCCTATAATTGGATAACGACGTGATGACGACATGGGATGAAGCACGATGCAAAGACAAATTAGTGATCACTTTCACTAATTTAATTTGTTTTGCTCGTCAACGTGACACTTTCATGCGTAAGTGCGTTATAAACCCATTGTACAAAATGCAATATCCACTGCCAGACATGCGTACAACTTTTAAAATCTTACTAGATGAAGAATCCGCGCTCTGCCGCGGGGTATTTTTTTGTAAATTAGATTTGTTTTAATATAATTACAAGTATGATTGGTACAAGTTTGAAATGATTCTAGGATTGGGTATTTTACCTTTACTCAAATTTTAATATTTTATTATTTTTATTATATATGCACACATTAATAAATACATGTTATATATTACTTTTATAAAATAAATGTACAGTATAGTCAATTTTTGTATTTGTTTTTTTTGTTTTGTTTTATTTTTATAATGTGTATAACGTTTTACAAATATTTGATTTCTTTTTATATGTATATAGTTTTTAGCGACTAATATATTTCAAGAACCTTACTTTCTTTTTATTAAAAATACACATGGTGCACAACCATAATTTAAATAACACTTAAAATATTTAACATAGACTTTCAATTTTTAAAACTATTCTTTTAACCTTTAAATCACAATAAGTTGTTAAAATGATAACTTATAATTTATTTTATACCATAATTTTAATATAAAATTATTATTCCAATTATGTTACTGGATTTTGTAAAAATTTTACTCATTTTCGTAACTAAAGGAGAAATTCACAATCTCGATGTTAGCAGAAAATCAAGGAAACACTACTTTACTATTATTTATAACGCAATTACACCGTATAAACGTAGATAAAAATACAAATATTTGTCACCGTTATTTTTTTATTCTTTTTTTTATTTGATATACTCAGTTAACATCATTATTTTGTTTATAGAGTCAGACTATAATTTACAAAATTGAAATATCTAAAAATAATATTGAACCAAATCAAACCAAAAAACAGAATAGACAAGCTTATTTAAATTTATATATTTGTATTATTTGGTGATTTAACAATCCTTACAATTAGGAATATGAACTATTCGTCCAATTAAGATATTTTATAAATTTATATAATAATTTTTTTCTATGTTAATAAAATCTGATGTGTATATTTATTTTAATTTGATTGATTTTACTTTTTAAATGAAATATCAGCTTCTAGTAAACATAAAGTAATAAAAGTGGCTTAATTAAGAATATAGTTATTAAACCAAATTCTAGTAGTACAAAATCAAAATTGTGGTGGACATGAATATCAAAAAATTTATGTGTAAACTGAATCGGTACATGTTGATTGTTGAGTTATATAGTAAATTTTTTTTTATTATAAACGTCTTAAATATAATTATGTTATGTAAAAATAACTATAGATATAAAGTTTACATTTAGATATTTGATCAATTCCATCAAATAATAAGAACTTTTCTTTATGTGTCAACATTACATAAGCTAATGTGTATTCATTTTATTTATAATTTGATTTTGCTTTTCTTTGAACAAATTAGAAATCTATGTATCATTATTATATAAAATAAATATGTGTATTATATGTTTTAATTTGATTGATTGTCTTTTTAAAATGATGTTTTTTTTTAATAAATAGCTGATGTGGCATGAAAAGCTGATGTGGCATGTTGGAGAGATGAATTGTATTATATCATTTTTAATGATGTGTCAGTCTCACAAGAGCTTAAAAAGCTGATGTGTCATTGCTGGAGAGACTCTTAGTAGTTTTATTGTATTGATTTGACCAAAATGCCACCAGATCACACACCGCACTGGTTTTTCTAGAGGTTACCATAATGGTTCTATGATACATACGAATCTTTATAAAATATGCTTTTTAATTCGATATATCGAGTTGAATATTCACTCATATTGTTTTTAAATGTGAAACAAAAGGCATTGGCGTTAAAGTGGGATAAGCCTGAAATATTGGAATTGCACAATTACGAAGAAACTAAACAATTATAGAACCATCACATTAAGAAATCTTGGCGAAATTTGCACTAACCGGTTGCTTCATTGATAAATACATCCCAACATCTTGACGGAAACATCACAATCATATCATATATTTATTTTTATTTTTATACAAAAATGTTGTATCTAAAATATTCATTAGTTATGCTGTCAACAAAAAAAAAACAAAAACATATTCATTAGTTATGATGCAACATCCTGTAAATAGTGCCATGGTTTAAACTTCAAAGTCAACGTACCAACCACACCCTTTGTAACCATTGAGCAACCTCAAATCGTAGTGTCTCTTAATGCTCCTCTAAGTTTTTATCATCCATATCATCTACTTTGATCTTCACACCAAATTTTCTTCCAAAAAAAAAAAAAAGAAAGGGAAAGAAATAAGACAAAGGTTATTGTTTTTCATTGCATGGACCGGAGAGCCAAACCGACGAAAGTTTGGTCCTCATGAACCCCAAAGGTAATAATAATCTCAACCGTTCAATCATCGGTGGTCATGATCATGGCTCGATCCTACAACTACTCCTCTTTCTGCTACTCCTCTCCAGCCACGGCGGATTTCAGCTCGTCGCGGGTCAAGCCACTCACGGTGGTTCAGACGTTCCCGGAGATAGCTCTCGGTTTGACCCAACCATGGCAATACTCATGATCGTCCTCGTCAGCGTCTTCTTCTTTCTCGGGTTTTTCTCGGTCTATATCCGAAGATGTCTTGAGCGAGTCATGGGGATGGACTACGGAAACCCCAACGACGCCGGAAACTGGTTTGCCACAAACCTGCAACAGGCGCGTGGGCTCGACGCGTCGGTCATCGAGACTTTTCCAACTTTCCGATACGCAACCGTGAAGGCGCTTAGGATCGGCAAAGAAGCGCTTGAGTGTCCTGTTTGCTTAAACGAGTTTGAAGACGATGAAACGCTGCGTTTAATACCTAAATGCTGCCACGTGTTCCATCCTGGTTGCATTGACGCTTGGCTCCACTCTCACGCCACGTGTCCTCTATGCCGCGCTGATCTTGTACCCGTGCCGGGTGAACCCATCGTCTCTATTCAAATACCCGGTTTAGTTAACGATCCTCCCGGTTCTGATCCGAGCGGTGATCGGATTAGAGTTTTAGGTTCTCCGGACGCACGATTGATTGACTCGGTGGCGTTGACTTGTAATCAGAGCATGCCACGTAGGTCTATGTCTACCGGATGGAATTTAGCCGGAATGTTCACGAATTCTGATCGGACCGGTCAACATTCAGGGAATCTAGACCGATTCACGCTTAAATTACCGCAAGACATTCACAATAAGCTAGTGAATCCCAGCCTTTCAAAAGGCCACGTGTTGTTACCTCATGTGATGAGTTCAGCGAGAGGATACAGAAGCGGAAGCTTAGGAAGTGAGCGAAACTACTTTTACTATGAACGGTTCGACCAAGATGGCCGGTTAGACCGTAGACCATTCTCAATAACTCCTCCATACCGGACAGGTTCAATCAATAACACATCACCAGGTGACAGTAGTGATCATGTGCGTGCTGGTTCACCCAAAAGTTTGCTTCTAGCGATGAAATCACCGTTCGATCGATTATTTCTTGGAAAGAACAACAACGTCGGTGAGCGTTCGTCGGATCACCTTCGTTCCGGCGATGCTACACCGTCGAATACTGTGTAATTTGGTTATCGAGAAAGTCAATGTACATAATTTTATTTTTACTTCTGCATTCTTCAGTTTCAACTTTAATGTCTCGGAACAATCGAACATACGAATTATGGTTTAATAGGAACATTTATGAAATTTTTGGGGCTAAATTGTAATAAAAGTATTTATACGGGAAACGTAATGAAGTTATGTAAAAGTCTTGAATCAAGTAAAAAATGTTGCAAATGTCGTTGATTTCATCTGAGTGATGACGATAATGTTCAAAATCGCGAAAGCTACACTACGAAACAGAAACTCAAGCGTCGCTTCGCTATTCTACTCTCTACAAGCTCGTTCTATCTCCAGGTGAATAAAAAAATCATCCTTTGTTCCAGATTCTTGACATACGAATTTGTAGATCTATGTCCCCGGAACCTGTGTTCGTACCAAGTCGAGTGTTCTGAGTCAAATTTCAATTGGATTCTTTTTGTTTTCCGATTTTGGTTAGGCAAAGTAAGGTGGTTAAGACAGAGAGAATGGTTGAGAAAGAAGACATGCATGTAACTCGTGTCTTATGTTGCGGTCCGTACTTTCCTGATTCCTACAATTTCACCAGAGAGTACTTGCAACCTTACCCTTTTATTCAGGTATGTTTAATTTCTTCTACCAATTAATAAAGTTGAGAACTTTACTCTCCTAGACTAGGTTAAAGTTGAGAACTTAACTCTCTTAGACAAGTTTATTGTTGTGTAGGTGTCAGTGTTTGAGATTTGATTTTAAACTGTGTAAATTCTGTGGTGGTGTTACTAGTTTCCACTAAGTAGTAGTAAAAATTCTTATTTTGAGATGGTTATTGTTTATTTTGTATGGTTTTGGTTCATATAGGTCGATGTTGTCCATTACCGTGATGTCCCTGAGGTTATAAAGAATTATCATATATGTGTCGCAATGACTATGCAAATGGATTCAAATGTTATATCTCGTGCAAGCAAGATGAAGCTTATTATGCAGTATGGTGTTGGTCTCGATGGTATATGTCTCAGTTTTTTCCTATTATGCATTAATACTCGATAGAGCGTTAATGGACTCATCTAAAGCTGCAATTTTACTTAACTATTTAAAGTAATTTACTTGTGAAGGTGTTGACGTTGATGCTGCTACTAAACATGGGATTAAGGTCGCCAGAATTCCTAGTGAGGGTACTGGAAATGCTGCATCTTGCTCTGAGATGGCTATATATCTAATGCTGGGTCTTCTTAAGAAACAGGTGTACTGTTTATTTGATTTGCCTCTGTATGGTTCCATTAGTGTAACTCTTAGTCTCTCTAGTGCTAGTTCTGATATTTATTTCTTAGCTAAAGGTAATCCGTACGACATGTTGCAGAACGAAATGCAAATATCTCTGAGAAACAGATTACTTGGAGAACCAACAGGTGACACGCTTCTCGGTAAAACTGTGAGTCTTATAGTGATCTTAAATCTGCATTAGATATCTTTGGTTTGTATCCCTAATAATGGTTTTTTTTTTTTAATTTTATTTTACTTCTTTCTTTCTATTTGTTATACAGGTATTTATCTTAGGATATGGAAACATTGGAACAGAGCTGGCTAAACGGTTGAAGCCATTCGGGTCGAGAGTAATAGCCACGAAAAGAAGCTGGCCTGCTTCAATCGTCGACTCGGACTGTATGGGCTCTCTGTTAACTCCTCTGTTTGCCTTGACAAACCATCCTGAGGTCTAGTAATTTGTTAACTTATATCTTCAGCCAGGCTAGTTGATGAGAAAGGTAGCCATGAAGACATTTACACATTCGCTGGCAAAGCTGATATAGTCGTTGTTTGTTTGAGGCTCAACAAAGAAACGGTAATGTTTCCACTTTTCCTTCATCATAAACTGGTCAAGCACGTGAATATGAAGAGTTTTTCTTGGTGGTGAAAATCCATCTGCAAATTACTATTAGCTAATTGGCTATATACATTGACTATTGTTTCTACATAATGATCTTATAACTTTCAGGCCGAAATAGTGAACAAGAAGTTCATATGCTCAATGAAAAAGGTGATTACCAGGGCTATTCATTTATGGAACAACCAAGTTGGATTAGATTGTTATTATTGATGACTGTTGACATCTCTTTTGCTGTTTCAGGGTACTCTTCTTGTAAATATTGCCCGAGGTGGTCTTATTAACTATGAATCAGCTTTCCAGAATCTGGAGTCCGGTCATCTAGGAGGCCTTGGGATTGATGTGGCGTGGTCTGAGCCGTTTGATCCAAATGATCCGATTTTGAAGTTCAAAAACGTTATTATAACCCCTCACGTTGCTGGAGTTACCGAATATTCATATAGGTCCATGGCCAAGGTAAACTATCCAAGGAAGATCCACTCTTTCTGATATGTCTTCTGCATTTGGTTAGAAATGGATTCTAAACTCTTACTGTTGTATATTGTAGATTGTCGGAGACCTCGCACTTCAGTTGCATGAAGGACTTCCTCTCACCGGAATCGAATTTGTCAATTAATGAGGTAACATTTTGGTGTAATATCGTCGCACAAATTATAACGTGCAACACCCCCTAGTAGTTGATATAAATTAATCCAATGTCTCTTTCTAATAACTCCGACCTTTCACTGCAAACTTTTTAGTACAACGGATTAGTAAATAAGCAAAAACTAATCTCTCGTACTTTTACTCGAGTTTCGAACAAACCGATACTTCTTTGACCAGTGACTAGTCTTAACCAAATAGTTGAATTATCAATCTATACTGTAATCTTTCCGGTTCTGTCTAGAGAATTGGAGACGCAGGGATCAGCATCGTCAAGCTTTCTCACGACCTCTCTCATACTCGGTCTGAGATTCGGGAGCTTCGTAGTGCAGAGAAGACCCATCTTCAGAACCCTAATCATGCTTTCTTCTACATAAGAAGACAAGACTTGCTTGTCCAAAACATTTCGAAGGTTCCTTCGATCTTGCTGAATCTGAGAGTAGACATAGTCAACAATGTCTTTCCCCTCTCCGAACTCATCTTCCATAGGCCGAAGACCGGTAACTAGCTCTAGAAGAACCACACCGAAGCTGTACACGTCACTCTTCTCCGTCGCCTTGAAGGAGTAAGCCAGTTCTGCAATCATCACATAACCACAACAAGAAAAAATCAGTTCCGGTTTTCGTCATGTGAGGCAAAGTTGATCTGACCGGTTTCAAAACTCACCAGGAGCCATATAGCCATGAGTTCCAGCAACACAGCTCCATTCATATCCTTTGTCTGCAACTTTTGCAACTCCAAAATCTGCAATTTTCGACTCATAATCTCCATCAAGCAAAATGTTGCTCGACTTTATATCTCTGTGAATGATTGGAGGACAACAATCATGATGCAAATATGCGATTCCTTTAGCCGCTCCCACCGCGATTTTATATCTGTATATTGACAAAAAGGGACAAAGTGATCACTTTTCTTTCGTATAATCTTGATTAACCATTTTGAAATTGGTTCATATTGACTAGAGAGTAGAGAACATGAAGTACCTTTTGAGCCAATCCAATTCTGGTAGACCGCCTTTAATATTGTTGCGAAGAGCCTGATACAAGTTCCCATTCTCCATGAACTCAAACACCAAATATCTAGAACCTCTTCCAACCAAACAAGCGTAGAGTTTCAACACGTTTCGGTGTCTGATCTTTCCAAGAATCTCCATCTCCGCAACAGAGACCTCTGTTCCGTCAACTTCTTCTCCTCCTGCTCGCTTTAACCACTTAACCGCCACTGTCCCGCCACCCTTTTTCAAATCAACACGGTACACTTTTCCCGCACTTCCAGCTCCGATCACATGATCTTCATCCAATCTACAAATCTCCTCAGCGTCCAGCTCCATTTGATGAAAAGACGCGATTTTCCATTTCGCATCCGCCTTGTTAATATCTCCGTTTTCCGAATCAAGCTCGCGTATCTTCAAAACTCTGTAACGCAACGCGAACAAACCAGTAACGAGTACTACCACAACAATTGCAAGAGCCAAGAACAAGAGTGTTCCATCGAGTGAACCATTCCTCTGCACGTGTTGGTCGCCACTACAAATGCTCAACCTCAAATTCTGGCTTGTTTTAGCGTTCTGTTTATCAACACAGAGCTTCTCGTTACGTGAGAATGCGGTGGATCCTCCCACAGCTAAAAGATCCGGTGGTATTCTCCCTGAAAGTTGATTTCCAGACAAATCAATGAAACTCAGCTTCAACTTCACAAGACTCGCCGGGATTTCACCCGTTAGCTTGTTCCCTGAGAAGTCCAACGAGTTTAAAGAAGCAATCTGAGATAAACTATTGGGGATTTCTCCTGTCAAGAAGTTCTTGGCGAGATTCAGATCAACAAGTTTGACACAATTCGTCAATTCGACAGGAATAAATCCTGTTAATGAATTGTTTTCAAGATGCAGAGACGATAACTCTTTCAAATCTCCAACTTCCATCGGAATTTCGCCGGAAATTTTGTTGTTGCTCAGATAAATCCTCTCTATATTCGTCAACCTTCCGAGTTCACGAGGAATCTTGCCGGAAAATCTGTTGTTCTGCAAAATGAGCTGACTCAATTCAGTTGAAAGTCCGATCTGAGGAGAAATCTCTCCGGTGAGTTCGTTATCGCTGAGATCAAGCATCTTAGCAAGTGGTAGAGCCCAAAATCCTTCAGTAACATGACCACTTAGACGGTTTTTGTTAATCCTTAGTCTTAAGAGAGATTTACAATCAGCGTAGGATCTCGGAATCTCACCGGAAAAATTGTTCTGCAGAGCGAGCAAGAATTGTAGCTTCTTGTTTTGGCATAAGAATCTTGGAAACGGACCAGTAAACTCGTTTTCAGATATGTCAACCGTGTCGAGCGGCGAGAACCGACCGATGTTAACCGGAAATTCACCGGAAAAGTTGTTTCTGTAAATCGAAAGAGAAGTGAGGTGACGTAGATCGCCCAAACCAGAAGGAAATTCGCCGGTAAAGTTGTTTTCATGGCAGTGGAAAACTCTGAGCTCCTTCAAATTTCCGAGTTCTTCAGGTAAAGCACCGCTCAACTGGTTCGAAGAAACATCGATTTCGCGTAAACGAGTCAAGTTCTTTATCTCGGGAGGGATTTTACCTGTTAATCTGTTGTTGAACAACTCAATCTTGGTGAGATTTA